CACACACACACACACACACACACACACACACACACACACACACACACACACACACACGACCTGGTCCCAGGGTTGGACCCCCACCCCCCCACCCCTCTTACGTCACACGGTAACAAGGAGCGCGAGTCAGGCAGCAGTGCGACTCGCGCTCATTCAGCCGCTGGTGCCATCCACTGTCACACAACTGGAGCTCCTGTAATTTACTTTTTTATTTGACTTCCTCTACACTAGTCTTATTATTCCTCTGTACTTTTAGAGGCAGAGACAGGGAAGTTGTTCGCTGACAGGACAGAGGAGACAGAGTTCTTGTCTCCTGGAGCTGAAGGTGCAGGCACGCGCTCATCACATTGTGAAAGTTGGAATTTACAGCGGAGGAGGAAATATCGTCTAACAGATGCGGCTCAGAAGATGAGCAGCGGTGAAGAGCAGACCGGGGGACATCAACGGAATCCAGTGCTGTCCACGGTAATTCATTTTATTTAGTTTGTCTATTTTAATATCTAGTTTAACTACTTATTCACACGTGCGTAAAATGTGCCCAATGTCAACACTCGCATGGAAAAATGAAACGTTTGAAGGTACATATTGAAATAATATATGACTTTATCGGTCACATTTATATCTTAGGACTTAACAACCTCATTCCTGAGTCACAGACACATCGAGCAGTATTGGTTACTGATGTTTTTTGCCTGTTAGAAAACGTGGTTCCATTTGTAGCAACTGCAGTTAGTGCCACTTATTGCTCGTGTTCAACCGCCGTGTTATCTAAACCAGCCTGTATCTGGAATCTGCACTTGCACTTGGTCTGCTGCCCGGTCTGCACTGGCACACACACACACACACAGACTCACACACACACACAGACACTGACCGTGCACGTCTCAGTGAATGTGAAGGTGTGTCGTGCGTAATTACAATGTTACGCAGTGTTTTAAATCCCCTCAAACTAAATTATGTTCGCTGAAGTTAACCGAAGAAGCCTCTCGGATGAGAGACGTCTCCAAACCGTAGCTGCCCTCCACTCAACTCCTCTTGCATGACTGATAATCTCCACAGACACCACTAAATATCTGCTCAACCCTGCAGACTTTTCATTGTTCATCTGGCTCAGCGTGACTCTAAATGTGTGGTGAAACCCAACTGCACAAATTCTTCAATTTCTAACATTGCAAAATCAGTTTCGGAGGCGAACAAATAAAATTAGATTCTGCTTATTGCACAAAATAGACACATGCATTCTTCAATCTCTGCACGAGCCACAGTTCTTACAGTAATGTGGCTGCTTCATGAGGGGCAAGAAAGAAACAGGCTAAAACTGAAGTGAACACAATGTATAATTGTATATGATATAATGCAACTAATACCACATGTGTGAACAATTACTTGCATAATTTTTATCAGAGATGTGAAATTGTACTTTTTTTCAATTTGTTTTGAGATTTTGTGTTGCTGCATCATATCCTGTTTCTCCTGCACTTCGTTGCACTCAGCTTTTACAAAAAAACATATTCAAGCTGATAAAAAACCTTTTAAAGCTGCCGCAAATGAACCTGTGCTTATTTAATTATTAGAAGAATGTGTCTAATCATGTACTGGGCAGAATAAACACACTAGCGCTTCTTTGTTTCTACTTTAACTCAGAATACATAAGAATTTAATTGTTGGGGGAGTTAATTGTGCAGGAGTGATTTTGATCCTAATTAGATCCACTTGGGCAGCGTCACGCGAGTGAGAGAACAACATGTGGGCCCTCGGTCCCTTGTGCATCCTGTATTGTGTCTAATAAGTGAGCCTACATTCATGTAAACACCCCTCACACATAACTAAACAAACATATTCATTATTATGTTCACGGCACATCTGTTGCGGTGATGCAGGAGCTGCACACTGTGCATACAGGTGCACTTAATGATTTTGTAATTCCTAGTTGTATGTTGTCGTAAGTGGTCATTTGAAAACATTAGCAGGCAACACAGGTGCTTCAATGCATACCAAACCCACATTAGCGCAGTCCTGAGATGCATTAAGTCTTAATCTTCAGCTTTCTGAGTGCTGCTACAATTGTCAGGGTGAAACGTCCGTGCTTGCGAGGTCCATTATGTATGTGGCTGGAAATTCTGAATGATGAGCACGGGGTTATGGGGGGATTGCACTTGCTAAAGGGTTGCTTATATATTTGACCCGTGTGTGCATGCATGCAGTACGCTGTGCAGTCTAAAGTAGCTCGGCAGCTGCAGGACTCGGACTGTGATCTGCCTTGAGGGGCAGAGACTGGAAGCAGTGAGTGCTTTCTGATCTCCCGTGAGTGCTGTATGTCAGCACTGTTCGACAGAATGTTCAGCTCCATGCAGCATCTTGAGGTCTGAAAAAGAACTGCTTCTCCGCTCTTTCACGGCTTTATCAGAGTTGGATAAGGAATACATCATAAGACCTTGTGTGACTAAGGATGGCCTCCTATTCACATTACTCCCATATCCTTCATCTCTCTCAGTATAACTGTGTGGCTTAAGCCAAACAACATCAGTATCACGCTATGTGGTCTGCTGTTCGCCTCTGAGGCTGAAGCGTCCTTATGTGGTAAGAAATCCGGCGCTTTGCTATTCTTGTTGCTCCACAAAAACAAACCAATAGATTTTTTCTTTAAAGATGGTCACCTTTAATATTATAACGCCATTTACAGTCAAGTCATGCTGTGTCGTGGACTTGTGCTTCGTCAGGGTGTCAGCTGTAAGTCACAGAGTTGGTTACAGCTGATGTACAGTATATTCACATCCTACCTGATCGTCTGTTTTCATTGGTCTTTTCATTCAGACATGACAACACATTTCAGGACTAGTAAATAACTCAAAGAAGAAGAATGGCACATAAGAAACAATAACAGAATTTTTTGTAAAACCCCTCAATTCTATTTCTACCTTTTTTAAGAAAAGAACGTTTTACAACTCATTAAGTATGAACATTATCACAGTGGTGGGAGAGTTAGAACTTCCTAAACCTCCACCAGGTTTATTCTTGTTTAATTATGTACCTTAAACAGGAGCTCATTTATGAACCAGGGTGCGAGTGAACATTGTCTTTATCACGTAGCTACTGCAAAATAATTAGTAAAAGAGGGCAAAGAGAATTTAAGACCCTCCCCTGCTGTCCTGAAAAAAGTCAGAATTACCTTCAGCTAAAAAATAAACCTTCCTCCTCCCTCTTACTTCGTGGTGTTCAAGTTACTTTCACATTGTATTCTGCTTCAGGTAAAAAAATGCTGTTATGTATGCAACACTCTTTTACTTTTCTCCTTATTCCCAAACATTTGTTTGCCTCGTATTGACTTGGACTTGGAGCCGAGCGCTGGAGACTCAGGCTGCAGAGTGAAGAGTTACGTCTGCCTGTAAACATTCTGTGCCTGTGGTCACTGTGGCTGCTGGAGAAACACGATGAAGACGAATAAATCAAAGTTGGGGAGGAAACGTGACAGAGAACGACCGACTCTCTTGACTCAAGTTTACTGTACAATGTCACAGTTGATGGCTGCTGTTAGATGTAATATGACGTATCTGACACCAAAGTGCTTCACGACACACTGTCAAGTGTTTAATGCTTGAAAATGCATTTGTGTGTAGTCTCGCACAGACAGATCTATCTCAGCTGTGTCAGCACTGGGGAATGATGTGGCTGCACCCATAAGGGGAAGAAAACACTTTTGTGGCTTGTTTTTATTTCTTCAAACCAATCCCAGTCGTCTTGTGCGGCTCGAAGCCAAGAATGCAGCGATGGTGCTGCTGCAAGACAGACGCTGTTCAGACCTGATATCTCAGCTGAGTGATCTCATCACAAGTGGTCAGCTCTGAGCGCAGGTGTGAACAAGCCCAAGATGCATTGAGCATGCATTTGTGATCCGATCACTCAGATCACATTCAAAGATGGTCCCTCTCCTGCTCTATCTCTCTCTCACACGCACACACACGCACACACAC